TTTTTTTTTGTTTTTTCTCCTTTTTGTTATTGAGGCCCAATTAAATTTTCAGCCAATATCAACCTGTTTCTGTCGCCACTTAGGACTCTAATTCATTTTGAACTTTATTCTAATTGCAAGTCCAAGTAGCAAGATTCATTAATGTGGTGTTTGTCTCCAGAGCTTCGCTTTTCCCAATTAATACAATTTAGTCCTTGAGTCAATTTATTTGTGCAGCCCATGTCATCTTCAATTTCTAAAGTGTGGGATTTGATTCCGAAATTATAGCTTTTATTCATTTAGTCCTCTTTCTTTTCCAAACGTTTAGAAACATGTCCAACACTAAAACCAATGAAAATTAACCAAAGTTAAGTAAAAATTAACACTTAAACAATATAAAAGTTTAGTAATTTGACTTGAGTAAATGCACAAATACATTTATCAAATTACATTAATAATCAGAGAAATTTTTTTCCAAAAACACAATTTCCATTGTCTCTCCAGTGTATCTAAATCTCTCAAACTTTCCCTCTCTCTATACTTTTTCTTCCAAAAAATACCATCATTTACATTATTTTTTTCAAAAATTACAATTTCCATTCTCTCACTATACTATCTCTCTTCCCTAATCATACAGCCACTTATAGCAGGCATATAGCAATTAGCGTTGTTGGGATTGTTAGAGGAGGAGGTGGTGGTGGTGGATTGTGATGCAGGTGGTGGCAGTTGTGGTGCGTTAGAGGTGATGGAGGTGGTGGTAGGAGTTCCTTGTTCAATAAATCGACTAGCTTGCCGTTTTGGATTGTTGTGGTGATAGGTTGTGATGCTAGTTTGCAGTGTGTGCGAATTTATTTTAGGTGATTATCTGTGATTAAGTATGTGTTAATTGTAATCAATTGTGATTAAGTCTATGTTACTTATGATCGATTGTGATTGTATGTATTGTGGTGCTGGTTTGCGATGTGCACTAATTTATTTGTGGTGACACTCTGCGACTAAATCTATGTTAATTGTGACGAGCTCTGCATTAATTGTGACTTCATGTGATCGCAGTACTCAAAACCTTTCTACCACCACCAACACACATATCAACTTCAATGCATTATCATCTCTTGCTTCGCACCATTATCACCACACGCAGATCTATTTCCTAAACATATTTGCCACATCATCACCACCGCCACCACCGCCCCAGTTCTGATAGAGAGAGAGAGAGAGTGTGTGTGTGTGTGTGTGTGTTTTTCTGATAGAGTGTGCGTATTTTGGCAAAAAAAATATATTTGGGGGTGAGTGGTTAGGAAAGAAAATATGAGACAGTGAGGATAATGTATGCCACAGTTCTATATTATACATTATTATATTGTATTTACCACCTAATTTTTAAAACTAATTTTTAAAACTGTTAATTATGAAATGTCGTAAATTAGTAGTTTTGTATTTTTTCCAATTTTGAATATTAAAACAGGAAAATGGACACCTACAAGATTTATGTTGCATTTTATAAATCCGCAAACTTACCATATTAGTAACCGAAAAATCGGCCGTGTGGTGTGACTTCAGATGAAAGGTCAATTGTTGCACTTGTGGAAGTATGTCAAAAGTTTTTCGTGATTAATTGTGTACTTGTTTCACTTATCCAATTCTGTCAACAATTGTAAATTATGTAAATATTTTTCTAAGATAATATATTCATTAAAATTATTTTAAAATGAAAAATTGAAATATCTATTATATCTCAAAGTTGTGCACCTACAAAATAAAAGCATAGTTGACATAATAGAAAAATATTTACATAAAATTACATTACCTTTGATACATGTGACTTAATTTGTTTTTGGAATAATAATAATAATAAACGCTGAATAGAAAAAGTAATTGTATAATCAAATAGGATTGAAATTGATTTTTATTAAAGATAATTGGATAAGCTAAAAGAATAATCTGAAAAGCTACATTTTTCTCATTCACAAAATCTCCTATCAGATAGTACAAATCTTCAATTATCAATTTTTTAAAATTTATCAAAATCTAAAGCAACTTCTGATTATTGGAGATTCGGAAACTAAGGTCAGCTCTACGGACAACAATTAATCCCAAATTGTCCCAGGGCATATCTCCCAGTGGCA